GTCAGCAGCGTCTCATCGCGGCTGCGGGACATCAGCTCGACGAGGAAGGAGGCGCCGACGTTCTGCAGTACCAGGCGGGCAAGGTCCTCGCTGCCGTCGGCCAGCTCGGTGAGGACGCGGACCAGGGCGAGACGGACTTCCGCCTTGACCGTGCCGCTGTCTTTCATCAGGTCCATCAGCACGGTGAAGCCCTTCTGTTCGGTGAAGCACTTGCGGCCGGCGTCGTCGCGGACCAGCGCGACCAGGTTGTTCGCCGCCTGGACCCGTTTCTCCGCCGTCAGGCCCATCTTCTCGCCCTCTGGGCCGATGAACTTGAGCATCGAACGGACGCGGTTTTCGGTGGAGTTCTGCTCGGTGTTTAGCTTCTGAATGCGGGCATTGAGGCGTTGCAGCGTGCTGATCACCTCCTCATTGGTGGGCTGCATTCGCTGGAGGTACAGGGCGCACTTGAAGGCCTCGGCGAAGTTCTCCTTCGCCTCCATCTCGCGAACTCGACGCCACAGTGTGTCTGCGTCGTTGGACATGATTGTTGCTGTTTTTGTTTTGTGGGTTGATTTGTTGAGGGTTGATTCGATTAGATTAATCACAGGTGAAATATTACTATTGTACAGGGATAATGATGATGATGATGATGATCGTGTTATTTTCTAAATCAGCGTTGCCGGTGTGTTTTGCTTCTGTTTTTGTAGAATACTGATCTGAGCGGGCTGCACGTTGCTGACTGCTTCTCGAAGGCACTCGAACCGTTGCTGGCAGTGGCTAACCCACTTTATTCTCTCGGTGCGGGATTCGGGAGGGATTCAGGAAGAGGAGTAGGAGGTTATTTTTAGCACGTCATCAGAAAGATGCGGCATCAAGGGAGGGGACTCTTCTCTACTACTATTTTTTTTAAATGCTGTGTTGAAGAGAAAAAGAAAGACTGTTAGCAACTTCTCTCCCCTAATTCTTTCCACCCTCTTACCTCGATTAAAATGAAAAAAGAATCCCACTGAAATGTTCTACAGCAAAATCGAGAAGATTCTTTGTGCATCACTAAAAGAAAAAAATGTAAACATTTCATCGGGGGCGATGCGACCCATTGGAGGCCATTCAAAGAATCCGTGTTGCCGTTTGTTGATGTTTCGCTTTAAAAAATCAAAATGTTTTGAATCTTTTTTAATCATTTGCCAGAATAATCTGTTGCGTTCCATTAGGAACTGAAGATGATTACATTCTTGGCACTTGAAACTCCTTCATTGACCGGTGCTGCGGTTGACTAGAGAGTCGACTGTATAGCAGTCACCATGACAACCTTTGATTAGTGTTTGTTTTTCGGCTTTCAGCTCGCAGAACTTGATTCACTGATACGCAATCAGTTGCAATCGAGAGAATATTCTCTGTTGTTGGACAGAGGTTTTCGCTCAAGATGGCCACCTCTGAGACGGTCAATCCTCGACTGCTCAAGTCGAACATTGACCTGCTGGCGAGGGTGACGAAGAAGCCGAACATGGTCACCGAGAAGGCGCTCTCCCGGCCGCCCTTCAAGTTTCTACACGATCTAGTTACTCTGGTAAGCTTTGCTGATATTTGTAGTAAAGTTATCTATTTTTTACCATTCTAGATTGTGAAAACCACCGGCTACCTGCGTGGCCTGTTCACCGAGGATGAGTTTAACTTTGAGTACGTCAAGGACAGCAAAGAGTCGAAGCTTGCCTTCCTCGACAAGCTCATCGATGCTATCGGTTTGTAGAGGAACATTGTCTTGGACTTCAACCAAAACTAAACTTTAACAATCATCACTCACACACAGGATTCATCAACGGCNTGGTTTGTAGATGAGCACTGTCTTGAACTTCAACCAAAACTAATCTTTAACAATCATCATCACTCACACACAGGATTCATCAACGGCAAAGGGGTGGACGTCAAGTCGGCAAAGATCGTCGCCGGCTCGGAGGTGGAAAAGACCAACAAGCTGCTGAATGAGCTCGCCAAGGCGGTCCTCGATAAGAAGCCATTCGTTGAGGCCGTTGAGAAGGTTCGAAAAGGACAAAAGCCGCCTGAGGCAGCGGTTACAACTTCAACTTCAACTGCAGCTTCCACTTCAAAGGCAACAGCAGCGGCAGCTCCGGCAAAGAAAACTCCCGCAGCAGCAGCTTCAAAGGCGCCTACTAAGGCGGCACCAGCACCGGCTGCTCGAGGCAAAGCACCTGCACCGAAAGGATCTCAAACTAAAGCCTCTGGTCCTGCTGGTAAAGCTGCTGCTCCAGCAGCTAAGGCGGTTGCAAGCAAGGCTGAAAAGACATCGAAAAAGCCCGCAACACCTGAGCCTGAAATAGAACAACCAGAGGAGCTTGGATCTATCGAAGCAGTGGCTGAGA